GGTGGATTTTTCTGGAGCTAAGGGATTTTTCCAGCTGTACTCCGATATCTGCATTGAAAGACTCCTTTATGTGAGCGCAGCGTGGAAGTTGCAGTTGTTGGAACCGTCCACAGAGGATGGTTGTGCAGGATGTAAGACACAGAGTAGTAGGTGTATGTAGAGAGCAGATTCTTCAGTGGTTAATTCAATCAGTAGTTTGGACTGTGGCCTGGAGGTGAGGAATAAGAGGTACTGTTTAAAACCTTGCTTAACAAGTAGACTACAAACCCTGCTTTTATTCTCATAGCTCACTTTGCTTCTCCGCTGGGGTGCTGATCTAACTGTAGAGCAGTTAATTACCTGCACAAACTGGAGGGGAGGGTGGGAAGCCGTCTGTATTCAAACAGCCTGCGTCTGTATCGCTGTAGCCAACTGGCTTGACAGCATGATGGATTGAAGGAATGCGTAGGATTTGCTGAAAATGTTTAATTTTGAATTTCATCTGTCCCGTCCCTGGTTTGCTAGCTGTCAGTCAGGTGTTAACAGGAGCAAATCTTTACTGATACAGCTATTCTCTGGCATGTTTCATATGGAATAGCTTCGTTGTGTAGAGAAGCGATCAATTTTCTACGGCTTTTCTGTCCTCAGGACCTTTTCCCAAGAGATTATCTCAGAGCTACTTAACGCTGGTGTCCTGCCTACACAAGGGCTTTCCTTGTCAGTGCTGCTGGTGTAGCCCCAGCTGGCAACAGCTTATTCTTGCAAACTGCCTATTAGCCAAAACCACAACTCTGCAAGGATGTTCCAGTGCAGATTAAACTTTCAGGAAAAGGCTTCGGGAGAGGTGCCAGCGTGTGGACTTCATGCTCCAGGAGACAGATCAGCTGCCTGACTCTTCTGGGGAAATAGTTCCTCTATCTTAAGATGCTTGTGGAGGACACAGGTTTGGATCCTGTCTCTGAAAGCTTGTTTCAGTGGAGGTCTTAAAGATGGTGTTTTGGTATAAGACTTGTGAAAATATGTTGGCAAATAAACACTCAGGACCTTTTCAGAAAGGAACGGCTGGCGTGTTAGACTCCGTTTTGTGTGAAAAGGCATGATTAGTACTGCTCTTCACCAAGCAGTTGTGTATTTTAATAAATCAAACCTTTGCCATGGGGTTGTATTCTGTCTCAACGTGGACTAGAAACCTCTGAACTGCCTTAACCCAGCTGTAGTGCCGTGGGTGATTGCATTTCAAAGCCATACTGGGATTTTGGTGGCTGTTCCAGTGCTTTCAGTGCCTTTGCGGAAGTGGTCGTCACCATATGAACAAAAGTTAATTTGCTTTCTTCATGATTCACTTTATTCTTACTATGCTCTTGGGGAGTTTATTCTAGAATAATGAAGTTTCTGCTTCCCACCAGTACTGTGGAAGGATTTGAGCTCTTTAGCCTTCCCCATCTGTCCTGTGCTGTGACTGTTAGTGAATTAATCGGGTACTGGTAAGGAATGAGTTGTCTTTTATTTTGGCAGCATTTAAATTAATTGAAGAAGCACCTACCCTCGTTTCTTCTTGGAAGATGATGCACTGAGATTGCTGTGAAGCTGTGTATTGCTGGGCAGACAGGCACAGACTCTTCTCTGTTAATTTTACATACCACATCTGTGTTTTCCAGGAAACTGGTGGGATGAAACACGCGTATCCTTTTGCTTAAAGCTTGGAAGGCTTCACAAATCTTACTTTGTTTTTCTCCCGAGGCAGCCTTTTTTGAATAAACTCACACAGCTGTAAATGACCACGTTCATAGTTACAGGGGGTACCGAAGTACCAGCCTTCATCTGAAGGCTGCTGGCTAACGAGTGGCACCTAACCGTGTGCG